GTCTTCCCGCTCCCATCTGCATTCTTACGCTTCTGCCGCAGTCATTACATTAACAAAAAGCGGGGACGACTCCTGTATAATAAAATTTTATCTGAAACCATGCTGTGCTGGGAAGATGGTAATTTAGTTAATTGAATTCCCTCTGAAATGGTACTGAATCAATATTCCAGCACGGCGCTGGCAGCACGCAGCTGGCGATGGAGCCTTGCATGTAACACTCCCAGTCAAACCAGGATCTCGGGGCGCCGACTGCGGGTCTTTGAAATTCCAGCCCCAGGTTTGGAGGTGTATCTCTGAGCGAGTGCGTGACCCACCGGGATAGCAGCTGCTCTCTGCATCTTGTCTGAACACGATTTGCAGCGCAGGATGAGTAGTTTGGGAAACGTTGGCCATCAGACCAGCAGCGAAATGGAAAAGTACCGAGGAAGGAGGCGCGGGCACAGCTCAGCGGGGAAGATGTTTGGCCTGGCGTGGGACCAAGGATCTGCCCTGTACTGACATAACATGCTCCAAGGAGAGATGCTCGCTGAGGGAACAGTTTTTTTCATTGAATCACAGAATGGCCTGGGTTGAAAGGGACTTTTAAGATCATTGAGTCCACCCATCAACCCAACACTGCCAAACCCACCACTAACCCACGTCCCTCAGCACCACATCTGCCCCTCTGTTAAATCCCTCAAGAGACAGTGCCTCCACCACTGCTCTGGGCAGCCTCTTCCAATGTTTGATAACCATTTGGGTGAAGAATTTTTCCCCAATATCCAATCTAAACCTCCCCTGGCCCAACTTGAGACCATTTCCTCTTGTCCCATCGCCTGTTCCTTGGGGGCAGAGCCCGACCCCCCCCTCGCGGCACCCTCCTTTCAGGGAGAGAGCGAGAAGGTTCTCCTCAGCCTCCTTTTCTCCAGAATTCTTTTGGAAGAGCAACACTTATGAGCTGGTGCTCATAACGAGCCCATGAGCTTCCTGGTTCTCCTACATAGGGACAGAAAGGATAAAATCCGCTGGGCTTATTGGCATCCACTGTCTCGTTCTTCTAGGAATGAATCTACATCCTTGTGGAACAGAGTGATCAGTCTTCATCAGTATCTGCAGCCAAACCACTCATCCCAGAGAAAAATGACCTCTCAGAGGAGCCGGATCCCTAATCCCAAGCACACAACTTGCTGTCACAGTGTGGAGCACTTCATTCAGTACAGACTTGACCCCAGGATGATTTTAGAAACTCTCTAGAGAAGCGACCTTGAGGGGCAGAGAACACATTTTACGGCTAAATTCATCATAACCACTCTGCTGAGCCTTCCGGGCTGCACGCCCTCTGGCAGAGCCGGGATATCAGCCTGTCGGAGGGTCTGGGTTGGTCCGAAATGGTGGACATTGTGGTGGCCGGGTTGGGTGCGAGATCTGGAGCGCTCCTCTGCCGCCGGGAGCGGGGCCGGAGAGCGGCCAAGGGGAAGAAACAAATGGAAAGGAGAAAAAAAAATAATAATAATAATAAACCAAAGCTTCATGTCTGGGACTTGGATCAATGCAAGCAACATAAATATTGGCTGAGGCACCTTCCGCCCGCTGGCTCCTCTGCTGCGAGGGAATTACGCGCTGGCTGCAAAATGTCTTTCTTGAGCTGGTGCGGAGCCAACCTCAGAGCGACCGCTCAGCCAGAGCAAACACATTAGCGCAGGGGAAATGGCCGCGAGCCCTTTTGTTTGGGCTCTGTCACTTTTCATCACCAAAAGTAGTTCTGCAACTGAGATTTGCAGGTCTCTGCTGTCTCAGCAGCCTGTGGCACCACTTCAGGCTTCGCTGGGAAAACGGCTGGAGCTGCTGGTCCCATGGAAGTTCCTTCAAGTTGTGGTCTTCTGAGCACCCCAACTTGGGCTCTCCTCGTCCATCCTGTGCTCCAATGCCAACCGTCCTGGGGACCTCTGCTTTCCTGTCCACATTAGTCCTGCAGGCTGACGTTTAAAGGCCATGCTCCTTCCACTCACCTGCCTGTGAGGCCATGTCTCCACCTGCCTTCAACCATGCACCGGGGCTGCGTGATGTGTCCGTAATGCAGATCCCAGCTGTGGTACTTCACTTTTTTTTTTTTTTTAAAGGGCCTTCACTCCCTTCTGCAAGGATGACACATAGCCCACAGGTCCCCAGGAGATCGCTGCGCTGGTATTTAGAAAGTTCTCCATTTTTGGTGAAGACCCAAATCAACACCTCTTTGTTCCTAGGAAGCTGTTCCCATCACTTCAGAAGAAATGACTTATTTTCAGGTTGATCTTAGACACTTTGGAGCCATTAGACCCTGTTGGGTCTTCACCAGCACTGATTATCCTGGGGCTGGTTTGGTAGGACCAAGATACCAGACTAGCCTGGCCAGAGTGGTCTGGCCATTGCTACCCTCTCCACCCAACCCTGTCCCTACGCAGGGAACAGCATACCCAGGAGCTGCCTCCTTGGGAACACGGAGAAGGGCAGAGGGGAAGGTCCCATGTAAGCTGTGGAGCGAGCAGTGGAGAACTTGAAGAGCTGGAGAAGGTAAGGAACACCTTTACACGAGGTGGTTTGGCAGTGCATGGGAACTGCTAGCCACTGCCTGACCTCCACCACGGCTTCACAGGCTGCAAAGAAGCTGCTTCTGTTCAGGATTCAGAGCGGGATGCAACCGACTGGTGGCAAGGTTCTGCCGAGCGGTCCTGAGGTCCCTGCCCTGGCTGCTCCATCACCCGAGCAGCAGCTCAGCTCCCCTCATTTCTAGAGGACCTCAGGGAGGTATCTCCAAGTGAGGACCCATCCACCCTCCTTGCAGGCTCACAAACCACTCTGGGTGGTCGGCTGAGCCACTGAGGGCCCCCAGGCTCAGAGGAATGGGGGAAAATGGAGGAGGAACCACTGCTGCTCCCGAATGCCATGCGCTGCTGCTGGAGGAGGAGATGCCAGAGCTGCTGCATTTACCACATACAAGCTTAAAACCAGGCAGAAATCCCCTCCCAGCCTTGATGTCCCAGTACCAAAAGCATGTCACCACCCACAACTCCCCTTCAGAGCTGCCCCAACACGGGTACCCCTCTTTGCTCCACCACCAGGTCCTCACCAGAGCCACCTGGCGGCGGGGGATGAGTCCCACGGGGCCTGACCTGCTCATCTCTTCACCAAAATGTTCTTCCTTCACAAAGCCTCCCAAGTACACCCAGGGATGGGGGCTGTGGGTGGCACCTCCGTGGAGCACGAGGCGATGGAGGGCAGCCTTGCCCTGGGAATTTCGTGCCTCATTTCATGCTGGGCAATGGAGTCAGCAAAGGGTTAACCCCCCCCCCAACCTTTTGCGAGGAGGAACATCGGTCCAGGTGAAGCATTTAGAGGCACAGCCAGCAACAAACCACCCCTGACCCGCCCGGAGGAGGGCTAACACTGACCACCCGTGTGCCCCCCAAGCCCAGTCTGCCACTGGGAGACCCTCACTGAGGGTCAGGCTGGAACCAGCCTAGAAGAAGACAACCTCTTCCTCCTCCTGTGTTTTCTCAAGCGGGTGGCCATGGTGCAGGGCTGTGCGTTGGCCACCCGTGTATCCCCAGGGCATCCCTCATGGGGCGGGCAGTGGCAGTGCCGTGGCCGAGGCATCTGCAGAATAACCCTGGTGGGTTAGCGGGGGAGCTCAGCTCCGAGCGGACGACGGCGGAGGTGGGGATCTAGCCGGGAAACCAGGCATGGCAGTCCACCAACCCCGCCCTTGAAACCCGCCG